TGGAGATGAGGCTCTGATATCATGAAGAAAAATGTGGGAGACAATACTCACTTAATTCTTATTACAAATATTCTACCATAAGACTACATATATAAGGAAATAAGTCTCTCCTAATTTACAATCTTACGAAATATATCTATCCCTACATGGAAAGGAAATAATTCTGAAATGAACATAAATAGAAATAGAATAAAAAAATAATCAAAGAGTTTCTCAAATTTTCTCCAATTAATCTATTCATCTCTCCTTGGATGGTTGGCCTTGGCGCACCATGGAAAGGAGGCTGATACTCCTAGATTTCCACAGTTGTTAATGTCCAGCATTGAATTTCTGAGGATGAGGTTGAGATATAGCCTAACTTGATTTATAAAGAGAAATTTAAGCATATTTGGTCTTTGATGTGAGATAGTTGGGAAGCAAACATATCCTTGTCGTTAAAGTTCAATGGAAGCACAAATAAGAAAGGAAAGCCATATGGATAAAAGAGATTGATATGAGATAGTTTTATCTAAATTTGTTTGATAGTTAACCATTTAGAATGTCCAGAATGACATTTTTCTGAGGGAAGAATGCGATGATTGCTTCTATAATATATGGGCGTTCCTGTTGTGATATGATTTTTGGATCTCTTAAGTTTTGTATGTTTATTGATTTTCTTTGTTGTTTTTAGTTGATTTTATGCCCAATTTATTCGTCAATTTTTAATAGTTTCGATTTGAACAAAAAATTAATTTACAAAAATTGATCTTATTATATTCAAGTAATTCATATGATTTTGTTTCACACTCAGATTTATAAATTTACGCTTGATTTTATTTTGATCATATTTTTATCATTTTTTAATGAATATCAAAAGTAGAAAAATAGAATGTGTTTTGTTGGATTTGTCATTCTCAATGATTGAATACTTCCTTGTAAAAAATGGGATTTCTAGAATCATCTAGTATCAATTTTGCAAAAAATTTTCACCATTGTTCTAGACATGATTTTTTATTTATTGAATATTTGTTCATATTTTTAAGAGTCATATTTCATGATATAATAACTTTTTAATAAAGTTATATTTAATAAAAATAACAATTCTAATAATTGTATTTATATTCCATTTACTTAGAAAAATGATTTATTATAAATAACTAAATCCATTATTTGGATTCCCCCTCCTCGTCCCATTGCATTTCATTCTTTTAAACAGAGACATTTTAGAGAGGGAAATGGGGAGAATGTGAATTTTTTTAGTGAGAGAAAATTGATTTTGGAGGTCGTAGAGCTGATTTTATTCATCGGGTTAGTTGGAAAAATTATTTGTCTTTTGGTAGGCTACTTTTGCCATACTTCATATTTTATTTTCATTGATTTTTTCATAAACTTGGGCATTTTATTTGTTAAAATTTCATACAAATTCAGATTTATAGAGCTTTACAAATTTTTTATCGCATAACTTTTTATATGTTATAGATTAGAATGTGAGGACAAATCAACACAAGAAAATTTATTTTTTAATGTATGTTATCTTGTACAATATTATGTGTATTTTAACAATTATATTAAACTAGATAAAATTTATTGTAGAAGAAGAAAATCTTTGACAGATTATTATGAATACAACAACAACAACAACAACAAAGCCTTAATCCCACTACGTGGGGTCGGCTACATGAATCCTTTTTCTCCATTGCGTCCTATTTAGTGTCATATTTTCATTTAGTTCTAGTAAATTAAGATCATTTTTAATACAATAAGCCCAAGTCTTCCTAGGTCTACCTCTGCCTTTCTTAACACAAGTCGAATTTAAAACATCTACTCTCCTAATCGCTTTCTTAACACCATCTAATGGTCGACGTTTAATATGACCAAACCATCTAAGGCGACTTTCTCTAATTTTGTCTGTCACAGGAGCTACACCAACCCTATCACGAATATATTCATTCCACATTTTGTCTTTAAGTGAAAAGCCACTCATCCACCTAATCATTCTCATCTCGGCAACACTTAACTTATTAATTTCATATAAATATTATTATGATTATTGCATATAAATAATTTTGTAAATTGTGATTGTGATTTTGTGCATATAAATTTCACTGTTAATTTTATATACTTGTTTGTTCCCATTTTTGTAGCAGGTAATATTTGCATATATCAAAATTATTAGTATTTATATGCTTTTGCATCAGAAATTTATATGCAAAAATGAGAAAAATGAGAGAATTGCATGAGTTGTGGTGGGGCTGTAGTATGTTATGTGCAATTATGTAGAGTTATCAAGGCATGCACATCTATGTAATTATTCATTTGTGCGTTTAATATGTCTGAACAAATGTGAGCAAGTTGAGGCATAAGTGAAAATGAAGATATAAGAGACAAACATGAAAATATAAACAAATGGAGGTATAAGTGGAAGTAGATGTACGAGGGGTGAGAAAAAATTATAAAATAATTCAAATAGAGAAATAAATTTTTATTTCATATTTTTTACTGTATTTCTGATATCATTTTGCTTATACTGCTAGTGGTTACAATTTATTGTATTACACTCTGATAGATAATACACAATACTTTATCATGTTTGCTTTATTTACTTTGAATAAATATTTATTTTTTATATTGAAAACTATAGTAGATTTAGGTAGCTTATTGAGACGTGGTTTCTTGCCCTTGTTTTATTCGTGTGTGTTGTGTCAGGGAAGGGTAATGCTCAGGTTGGATAGAGGTTTTGGGTTACTATTAAGACTTTGACATTAGATATGGTTTTATTTTGGATCTATATTTTTGGCAATCGTAGTGATGCGTGTATTTTGATGATAGAGAGATTACAACGTGATAGATGTACGTGTTTCCTTTTGTTGTATAATTTCGTTATGATCCGCATGAATTTTGAGTATTTTTGTCTTATAATATTTTTATTATATTGGTAGCTCTATATTTATGAATTTTAAAGAAATATAAGTAAATAGATTTTGGTAATTATTTAACTGTTGCGACATCGACCTGAGTTGACCTGCCTCAATATGAATGATTATATCAGGTTGGGTCGTAATAGTTTGTCGTCCATTGCCTTCCATAAATCAATGTTCGAAGTTTACTATTCATAAACATTCAACACCAGAGACCTTTTGATTGACACCTACCAACCACTGTTATTCAAAGTCCACAGACCACTAGCGTTTGATCATAGCCTTTTAAGTCAATCGTTTCAATACTCTTTCAAGAGAATGCTTACATCGGCCTTCTCGTAATGATCGACGTTTTACTTCCACCAATCACAGATGTACAACTCATGTCTTTCATATGCTTTATTTGTTCTCCTATTAAGAGAATAATTGGTTACACTACCTTCCATTGTTTGACTTTTGATACCCATTATTCATCATCCAACTATTGCTTTTGGCATCTATCATTGTACACCCATCAAGCATTAATGCTTGCAAATATTCATCACCATTTGATGTTTGTCACCTGTTTTCTCAATCTTAAAGTCCCTCCTCCTATTTGGAGATCGATTGAGCTGACTAGTCAATTTTGTTCGATGTCCCTCATCGATTATCGCCCGATGTTCACCATGTATTGTTAACTTTGATCACCCCATACTCTTAACTCTATTGAAGGAGATAGCTCCATTAGTTTAAATTTATTTCAGTGTATTAACACATTTTTTAGTGGCAAGAAAGGACAAGCCATTATAACCCCTTACCTGAAAGTAGCGAAATTTTAACATTTCCCTAAGTCTCATAATCTTTCCACTTTTTTTTTTTTATTTTTATATAAAAGCTTTTTTCTTTTGTATAGTATTCTCAACTTATTGCAAATAGCATAAAAGAGAAAAAAGATATAGCTAACCCCACGTAGTGAGACAAAGACTTGTTGTTATGGTTGTTATGCTATTTTCAGCTTATCTATGTTCTATATAGCACCGACACTTATAAAATTTCGTAGACATGTGTCAGACACGTATTGGACACTGAAATTTGTCTAACATGCCACGAAAGTTCTCCGACACTATAAAATATATGTATGAATTTTTTTCGGGCCTAAATACGTCCATGACACACCTCAGCACCACATTGGACTTGAGCATGACATGATTTTTTGAGAAAACTAGACAAGGGAATTATAAAACTATAAATATATATATCGCCTTAATTATACCTCATAATCAAAACCGTCCAATCTCTCGCATATTGAAGTTCTCTCTAACATTCATCAAAATCCAACATCGAAGATTTATTTGATATTTGTCAAAGCTGAACATTTGTTATTCTCTCTTTGTTATCATAGTATTTTTTTAATTTTAGTAGATAACTTTGATGAACTTTTTTAAAACATATTATATCTAATTTTTAAAATTAAATTTCATAAGCATGAGGTTTTATAATATAAATTAAATTTATGAAGTTAAATTTTTTTCTTACATAAGTTGTGTTGTGTTATTTTTAATAAAGAAAAATGAAAAAGTATATATATTTTATAGTAATAATTAATTAAATATTAAAATGTGTCATTGATGTGTCGTGTCCTTTTTTTTCAATTGTTGTGTCCATGAATTGTGTTGTATCGTGTATGTATCCGCACTTCATAGTCTATGCTGTATAATCTCAAAATGTTAAAATTTTATCCATCATCATGAATGTTCCAACACATAACAAAGATTATTGAGCATGAGGGTAGACTTGGTACACGGAAGTTTGCAGTCATTTTCTACTCATTGGATTTTATGAATTAATTAGATTTTCCTTGGTTAAGCTGGTGGAAAATCTCTTTATATTGCTCTACGCAGGATATACTTTTTCACATTGAAGTCAATTTACACTAGGCGTCCTACCCAATTGACAGTGCTCTTTACTTCATAAAGGGAAGCCTTATGTTGTTTTGACTATATACAAAAAAATAAATAAATAATTGACATGTTGGTTTGGGATATTATAATGCTAATCAATCACAAGTATCAAAATCTTTTTTCAACATAAGTGCGACATTTTCATAGCTGTAAATTGTTGCAGAAAGATAGCGATGCTGTAAAAGAGGCACTTGACCAGCTGAATGGAAGTGGTTGGGCAAGGAGGTGGAGTTCACAACCTTATGTGTCACGCCGTACCGTAGGTTCTCAATTTCTACATTTTTTCCACTTTTTTTAACAGTTTTTAATTTTGTATTTTGCTTCTTTTGTTGTTTTTCTTATGTTTGGCCCATGGCTTTGTTGTTGTAAAAACTTTTTGGAACTAATTGCAGACTTCTTTGAGGGAGTTGACCACACTGGGAATAAAAAATGCTGAGAATCTTGCAATTCCAAGCGTTAGAAATGATGTAAGCTTTGTAATATGTTAATTTCTTTGTAGATTTTGTTCCTTCAGTTCAAAACTTGCAGAAATATTTTTATTGAAATTGAGTGAATGTGTATGTCTGAATATTTGCCCTTCCTAATTCTAATTTGGGACAGCATTCTATAAGAATGTCTTGGGATCTGATATTTCACTGATTTATAAGTCATTTACTTTTTGTTTTTGCAGGCAGCTCTTCTTTTTACTGTAGTAGGGACTACAGGATTTCTTGCGGTCCTTGCTGGTGGACTACCCGGGGTATTTCTCTGGAATACGCTAAATGAGCCTTTATGGTGTTTGTTGTATCCTTTCATGCTCTCTTTATCCATAAAAAAACTTATTTGAACTTCTCCTAGAAACTTGTTTTTCTTGCTCCTTTTGAGATTAGCATTGGTTGCCCAAGCTTACACTTTGCCTGTGACAGTTTATTACAAACAGTTATGTGAAGTTTTGCATCATTTAGCTTCATTTATCACAGCACCTCAATATGACTAAAGTCTTGCGTTAGGGTTTGCAAAGGTGCTTAGCATGGAAAAAGGTGCTCAGCATGGAAAACTTGACACTTACTAATCTGTTGAAATTGCAGGATTGGGGCTTCTTTGTACCCTACTTAATTGGAAGTATTCCCCTGATCGTTTTGGCTGTGGGGAGTATTTCCCCTGGGTAAGTTTAGTCAGATTTGTGCTTGCATATTGTGTAGGCAGAAAGTTTAGAGCCATTAGGGCTAGGTTTGCTGAACATTTTCTTCCTCGTGAGTTGAATATATTTGCAACGGCACTTAGATTAATGTAGACTAAAGCTCAAAATATCACCTGACTTTTAACAATTGACCAATAAGGCTCAAAACACTGCATTATCTGCCCTAAAACTCGAAACACTCACCTAAGTTTCGCCTTTTCACCTCTCGGTTTCGCTTAAATCCATTGCCTTTGTAACCGAACCTTCACGATATAGTTGCGATTAAAGCTCATTGGGAAGGTAATGATGGGATTGTAACGTACAATGACCTCCCTAAGGAGGAGAAGAAAAGACCTCACAAAAATGAGGTCAACACTACTTTAAACCAAGATAACCCTTGTTTTTCTCTCCCTTCGTCCCACCCACCTTCTCGTGCTTCCGCTTCTCTAAATCCTGTAAATCTATCTTCTAAAGGAATTTATAAATTCATATATTTAAGGAAACATAGATGAAAAATGTGATTTAATTTTTTAATTTGACCAATTTACCCTCAACCCGTAACATCATTAAATTAAAATGAAAATTTGAGAAAGGAGTAATTGTTGTGAAAAACGACGACAATAAGTACACTTATCCCGAAGAATAAATATATTACTTTGTATTAGGGATTCAATCATCTAGACGAAACAATTTGTGACATCCGTTTGGTCTGCGAAATATTTATTTACGTGATTCGGCAAATTTGCCTACATCCACGAAGTTACAGCGGATTTTATTTCTTCGAGAAATTACACCGTCGAGCGCCTCGATGTTTACAAGAAAATCTCTCTTTTCTACAGAGGATTTTATTTCTTCGAGAAATTATACCGTTGAGCGCCTCGATGTTTACAAGAAAATCTCTCTTTTTATCTATCTTCCTCTCTCTTCCTCTCTTTCTCTTATCTCTCAAGAGGACTTGACTTGGTCTTGCTCGGCTTGACTTCTCCTTTAAGCCAAAAGAGGCTGTTTTTAGAAACCATGAGAGCGGTAGGTGGGAAAAAACACCAGAGCGACACACAAATTTACGTGATTCGGCAAATTTGCCTACATCCACGAAGTTACAGCGGATTTTATTTCTTCGAGAAATTACACCGTCGAGCACCTCGATGTTTACAAGAAAATCTCTCTTTTCTTCTCTCTTCCTCTCTCTTCCTCTCTTTCTCTTATCTCTCAAGAGGACTTGACTTGGCCTTGCTCGGCTTGACTTCTCCTTTAAGCCAAAAGAGGCTATTTTTAGAAATCATGAGAGCGGTAGGTAGGAAGTAGGTGAGCGGTAGGTGGGATGTGTTAAGTGAGCGGTAGGTGGGAAAATATGTGAGCGGTATGTGAGATTCTTAATTAGGAAGCTACTTAAATTTCGGTGGACCGGGTCTCCACATTACCCAAAAATTCTCCCACTTGGAGATTGAGACACTGACTGCATCACCTACTAGCTGTACCGACCTTTTCCTTAAACATAATATCCTCCACCTCTACAACTCGAAGCCCCAGTCTTCATGCCAGAAGACCAGCTGAAGTTGAGCACAACTTCAGCTTCTCACGAGTAACACTCTCAGTTGACATATCACCGTCAACGTAGTTTTGTACCACTAAACTCTTTTTTGGGTTACTCATGTATTTGTTTATAACTCTCACTGCTTGAGCAATATCCTGCCCCTGCTGAAAGCCCTTTTCAACAAGTCCAACATTGTACTTCTTACTGCCACCAAACACAGTCTTCACCCAGTGCACCCACTTTTTGTGCAATGTCTTCTTCCTTGGTGAAAGTTCTGTCAGCTCCCAAGTCTATTTCCCTGACAGGGAATCTGTCTCCTCCTTCTTGGTCAGCTTCCACTTGCTCGAATTCTCATATTGCAAGATTTTTTCATAGCTCTGTTGTTCTCCACCATTTGTCTGTACAAAGTTCGATTTTCCTGTCTTTGGCGCTCTATCACTTTTTCAGGAAATTGACCTTCTTCTGCTTCCCCATAAAACATCTCTGACTCATGTGTCGTCGCCTGAGTAAACATGCAGTCATATATAGTGTGTCAGTTTTCTTACCCCGAGTCATTACTAATGCTCCTTTGGTAACTTTTGAGGTGCTATCTAAGAACAAATGACCACCATTTTTGAGCTGCCCAATAGAGATAAAATTTTTCTTCAACTCAGAAACATGTCTGACTATTTGCAAAGTTCATTTGCTCTTATTAGGGAGTGCAATATCAACGTCTCTCATCTTCACCACGTCCATCAACCAGATATACCTTCCCAAAGTTACCTGCAACATAATTTCGCATTAACTCCCGACGAGAAGATGTATGGAAGGAAGTCCTTGAATCCAATATCCAGTCATCAACAAAATTGTGAACTGCCAGAAATAGTGCATCCTGTATTTCTTCAGTTACATCATTAGTGTCATCATTCTCCTTCTTAGAATTCATGCAGTTTCTTTTTATGTGGTCAGCCTTGTCACAATTCAAACAGATTGTCTGCTGACCAGACTTTGATTTTGATCTTCCTTTGTTTGAGTTTTTGTCATGTGATCTTCCTCTGGAATCAACATTCATCGTCGAACTTGAACACGAGGTCTCGCTAGAATTCTTCCTGCGCACCTCCTCAGCCAAAATAAAATCACGAATATCATCATATTTCAGCTTAGATTTACCTGTAGAACTACTAACTATCATCCTCATAGCTTCCCAGCTATTTGACAATGAAGCCAACATTATCAACGCACGTATCTCATCATCAAAATCAATTTCAACAGACGACAACCGATTTGTGATAGTGTTGAAATCATTTAGGTGTTGAACAACAGACACATCTTCCGCCATCTTAAGTTGAATAACTTTTTCATCAGATACACCTTGTTATTCACTGATGGCTTTTCATACATACCTGATAAAAGACGCCATGAGATCTGCAGTAGTCCTCTCTTTGATGACGTTGTGGACAATCAATCTCGACAAGGTTAATTGTATAACCCCTAGAACCTGTCGATCCAACGGATTCTCGTACATCTTTTCTGGTCGCATTTACTAGTAATGAAAGATGAAGTTTCTTCCCATAAAGGTAGTCCACTATCTACATCCTCTAGTAAGAAAAATTTGTGTCATTGAACTTCTTGATCTCCGATGTCATCACTTCGTCTCTACCCATCGTTCTTCCTTAGATTCAAACCCAAGCTCTGATACCAGTTGTTGTGAAAAACGACGACAATAAAGCGAAAAATGGAACGAGTAAAATTCCACGCAGAAAAAACACCATAGCAACACACAAATTTGCGTGGTTCTACAAATTTGTGTGGTTCGACAAATTTGCCTACGTCCACAGAGCTGCAGATGATTTTATTTATTCGAGGAATTACACCGTCGAGCATCTCGACGTTTACAAGAAAATCTCTATTTTCTTTTCTCTCTTCCTCTCTCTCTCTTCCTCTCTTTCTCTTAACTCTCAAGAGGACTTGACTTGGTCTTTCTTGGCTTGACTTCTCCTTTAAGCCAAAAGAGGCTATTTATGGAAACCATGAGAGCGATAGGTGAGAGCTAGGTGAGCGATAGGTGGGATGTGTTAGGTCAGCGGTGGGTGGGATGTGTTAGGTGAGCGGTATGTCACCTCCCAAAAGAGCCCTTAAGAGAGGTGGGCAGCCCAGGACTTAAATACTGTTTTTTGGCTTTACACTTAGCGATGTGGGATTATTTGTCCGTGACATTCTTCTCCACCTAATCACGTGACGCCCGCGTCACGGATCGGCTCCACCGAGGGTCCCACTGGACCATGGAGAGTTCACACACCTGACAGGCAGTAATCTGCTCTGATACCACTTGTCAAGAGCCCTTAAGAGAGGTGGGCAGCCCATGACTTAAATACTGCTTTTTGGCCCTACACCTAGCCGATATGAGACTATTTGTCCGTGACAGGTAGGTGAGATTTTTAATTAGAAAGTTAATTAAATTTCGGTGGACCGGGTCTCCACATTACCCAACAGTAATTTAGATCAATTTTCAATAGTTGGGACTAATATGAAACAATTTACAATTCTGGGACCAAATTGATCACTTGTTGAAACTCGGGAACTATTTTGGGCTTTGCTCGATTAATGTATGTAACAAAAGCTCTTGATCAATTTTATAAATGATCAAAGTGTAGCATTATTCATATTATATGGTGATTTTACATTTGCAGACTTCTTCAAGCTGCCATAGGTGGATTTTCTTCAATTTTCCCGGATTATCAAGAGAGGATTGTTAGGCATGAAGCTGCTCATTTCTTAGGTAACCTACAACCTTCAAAATGTATTTACAAACTTCTCTAAATATTTAGAAGTTACATAATTTGCAGCCTTAAAAGTCATGCTTGTTAAATTCTTAGGGCCACTTTATTATTATTATTATTTTCTTAAAACTCATCCAATTGATACACATGAACTTGTGAAATTCTGGGTGCTTGAGGGATTATAATCTCTTCTTTGAATTCACTTGAAACTTTTCTAGTTCAAATTGTTCCAATTCTACCCGATGAATTTTTTTCTTTCAATTTTGTCATAGCATTTATTCTGTAATTCCATCACTTTTCTTCTCTTTTTATTGAAGTTGATATCATTGAAAATAAATATGAACATTAAGTGCCGTGCGTCTGTTCCTTTTTTGTACAAGAACGAATATCTTCTTTTTCTGTTATCAACTATTTTTTATTTAAATTTTATATATTTATTTAATTTTTTTTTTTTTTTTTGCAATCCACTGAAAGTTATGTTACTAAAACTGTAAAAATATCTGAAGCCTTATTTTAATCTGTAAGTTAATGAAAAACATCATTTCAAAATCTTTGTGCCAATGAACATCACATCCCCTGATCTTTCCAAAGTCGTATGAATTTTTTTGTTTTAAGAAAAATGTTAAAATGGTATCTTGAGTATTTATAGGTGGCCATTTCAGGTTAAGTCCATCTAATTTCCAATTTTGCTCTGGAACTTCCCAAATATGATCCAAAATATTCCATCGAATCTTCAAATTTAATCCAAAATAATTCAATAGTTATTTCAATCATATTTAGGAGCCAATATTTTTTTTTCTTTATCTTTTTTACAATTAATATCTGTAAGGCGGCTTGCATTTTCAGTGCTATAGTCACCGTCTCTTCTAATGGACGCTACTTAACTGGAGATGGCACTCTTATTTGCTGACACTTTTTAATTTTGTCATTGAGAATTCCTCTGAGTGAAATACAAAACTAGCTCCAGTTTTTTTGAAACATGATAGGCAACTCATTGCCATCGCACTGTCTGAAAGTTCATTGCTAAAAAAATCTTTTGCTCATTTTCATGACCTTTGATTCATGGCTGATCAAAATCACGAACATTTTTTTCCGCCCTCAATTCCGTTGTTGTGACGGGCCAGTTTCTTTTTAACCTTTCCACTGTTATTTAGTCTTGTAAGCATTAGATTGCTTCAGCCTCTGCCATATCCTCCTCCTTTCTCAGGCGAGAAAGTTGCTTATTAATTCACATTCAACCATTTCAAAGTCAAATAAGAAATGAGTGGTGCTTGGTTTAGATTCAAAAAGTTAATAAAAAAGGTGGTTGGCATAGAGCAAAGGAAGCAAATATGTATTTCAACGAAGAATGATAAAACGATGTACTATTAACTAGGCGTATTTGTCTAGTTGAATGGTTATTTGTTTTGGTCCGATGCATCATAGTTCCGTCTTAAAGTTATGGATAAAGATGCCTGCTGTGTTCGTTAAATGCACAATAAAAAATATGACATTTTGGTAGTTATAGTGGTTTTTTGGGAGCTTTAGTTTTAAATGCTCACATTTATATGCCTAGGATATTATCCTTGTTAGGTATGACTTATATACCATATAAGAGACAAATGTTGGAGCGGAGCAGAAGATTCTGTTCAAATCAGGGGAGTTTCCTTATGTGAGTTGGGGGTGAGGTACATGGGTAATTTGATAATTACATATTGTACTTCAGGATTTTCTAGGGTTATAAATAGACATTTATGTAACTCTAGGTCTTATCCCATATTTTATTCTGTATCCTGTACTCTTTTTCTGGATTAATGGAAAAGTCGTTGCCCTGCTCCCGAAAACGTAGGCATCTTTGTCGAACCCCATTAAATCTTGGTGTTCTTCTGGATTTGTGTTGATTCATGTTTTTCTTCGCCCTAATTTCTCAATAATTGGTAGGTATGACTCATATACCATATAAGGGACAGATGCTGGAGCGGAGCGAAAGATTCTGTCCAAATCAAGAGAGTTTCCTTATGTGGGTTGGGGATGGGATACAGAGGTAATTTAATAATTACATATTTTACTTCAGGGTTTTCTAGGATTATAAATAGACATGTATGTAACCCTAAGTCTTATTTCATATTATATTTTGTATCTTGTACACTTTTTCTGAATTAGTGGAAAAGACGTCGTTATGCTCCTGAGGACGTAGACATCTTTGCCGAACTTCGTTAAATCTCGGTGTTCTTCTGGATTTTTAAATCTCGCCGAACTTCGTTAAATCTCGGTGTTCTTCTGGATTTGTGTCGATTTCTGTTTTTCTTCGCCCTATTTTCTCAACAATCCTGATATAAGTTAAGGTTGCATTGATAATCTAGATTTATTAGTTATTAGGATTTTTTTTAGCTGTCATCTTTTTCACTTGACATCGATGTTTTCTTCTCCATCTTTTTTTATTACTATCAATTAAGAATAATTGAAATAGGGCAGAATTAAGAGTTTCATTCTTTAAATCACTGTATTTTTTTTCTTAGTTTATTTGTATATATTTTTGCTTTTTAGTTGAATATTTAGATTAGGAATATGTATTGTTAAGTTACCTAAATTAGATTGTACACATTATTATGTACCTAAAATAGATTATACACACTATTATTTATTGGAATGAAACCAAAGAAAAAAGACATTCGGCATGTTTACTCAAAACATTGATATGGTATCAAATCCGCATCGAATCGTTGTAGTATGAATCTCTCGTCTTCAAAGCCAGCCTTTGGGAATTGTTCGTCTTCATCTTCGACTCGAGCTCATTCCATCTTCGCTTACATCTTCGATTGCCTCCTACGACATCATTGTTTGCATCTTCGACTGCTTCATACGTCTTCGATCGCAAATCGCTGAGAGTCTCATCCGCGATTCCGTAAAAGCCTTCCTAGCGCTCGTCTGCTGAGATCTACGATTCTGTCTGTCGTGAGATGCTGGAGCGGAGCGAAAGATTCTGTCCAAATCAAGAGAGTTTCCTTATGTGGGTTGGGGATGGGATACAGAGGTAATTTAATAATTACATATTTTACTCCAGGGTTTTCTAGGATTATAAATAGACATGTATGTAACCCTAAGTCTTATTTCATATTATATTTTGTATCTTGTACACTTTTTCTGAATTAGTGGAAAAGACGTCGTTATGCTCCTGAGGACGTAGACATCTTTGCCGAACTTCGTTAAATCTCGGTGTTCTTCTGGATTTGTGTCGATTTCTGTTTTTCTTCGCCCTATTTTCTCAACAATCCTGATATAAGTTAAGGTTGCATTGATAATCTAGATTTATTAGTTATTAGGATTTTTTTTAGCTGTCATCTTTTTCACTTGACATCGATGTTTTCTTCTCCATCTTTTTTTATTACTATCAATTAAGAATAATTGAAATCGGGCAGAATTAAGAGTTTTATTCTTTAAATCACTGTATTTTTTTTCTTAGTTTACTTGTATATATTTTTGCTTTTTAGTTGAATATTTAGATTAGGAATATGTATTGTTAAGTTACCTAAATTAGATTGTACACATTATTATGTACCTAAAATAGATTATACACACTATTATTTATTGGAATGAAACCAAAGAAAAAAAGACATTCGGTATGTTTACTCAAAACATTGATATGGTATCAAATCTGCATCGAATCGTTGTAGTATGAATCTCTCGTCTTCAAAGCCAGCCTTTGGGAATTGTTCGTCTTCATCTTCGACTCGAGCTCATTCCATCTTCGCTTACATCTTCGATTGCCTCCTACGGCATCATTGTTTGCATCTTCGACTGCTTCATACGTCTTCGATCGCAAATCGCTGAGAGTCTCATCCGCGATTCCGTAAAAGCCTTCCTAGCGCTCGTCTGCTGAGATCTACGATTCTGTCTGTCGTGATTCGCGAAGGAGAGGAAGTTCGATCCTTTGGTCTGCACCGATTGCGTCTGTCGTGTTTCGCAGAAGAATTAGATCCCGTCCGTCTCGTTCACGATCCAAGCTTCATCTGCGATCCAATCTTGCCAGTCAGAGCCGCCGCTCCTTGGTGCATTACTCGAGTCGCACATCCATATTCATGTAACAGAAAACCGAATAATTTGGTTTTTCTTTGGTCTTTTTTTGGATCTCTTGCTTTTCTTTGGTTTTAGGTTGATCGATTTCGATCAACAACTTTCTGAAAAATCAACTTGTGAGTGACAATGCTGTTAGAATGTCTTCTGAGAAAACACATGAAATCTTAGCTATCCGATTACGAGAAAGAATTACACGGCATGAGAATTTCAGTTCAACATGTTTTTGAAAGGAAATGAGCTTTGATGCCATATTGATGGATCCTCTCCAGCACTTATAGAGCCGAAACATCTTTGTCAATTGGAGGCAAAGAATGCTCGGATTGTTTCATGAATTTTGGGACTATTAAAACTCATATGTTGAACAACTTACAATCCTTTGACATAGCTAAAGAAATGTGGGAATACGTGAAACACATCTACAATCAAAATAATGTTGCGAGGCTCTTTCAACTAGATATTAATATGAGTAATTATAGTCAAGGTAATCTCTTAATTAAACAATATTATTCTGGCTTTCTTAATTTGTGGAGTGAATCTTTTGGCATTAAATATGCTAAGGTGTCAAAGGAGAATTTAGCTAGTCTTTAGGCTATTCATGAAGATAGTCGTCATGATCAGTTTTTGATGAAGTTCAGACCTGAATTTGAAACTGGTCGGGCTGGGTTGTTGAACAAAAATCCGGTTCCTTGTTTGGATGTGTTTTGCTGTTGAAACTGGTCGGGCTGGGTTGTTGAACAAAAATCTGGTTTCTTGTTTGGATGTGTTTTGTTGAATTACTGCGCAAAGAACAAAGATTGACGACACAAGTCGTTATCATTGCAGTTGATAGATCATCATAAATAGTTAATGTTGCATATGCTGCTCAGACCCAAGTAAAGGAAACAAAGCAGTGTTACAACTAGAAAGAATTAGGTCATATAGCTCGCCGATGTAGTGAGAAGTT